CACTTGCCACCCATCCACCCGGGGGGGGGGGGGGGCGCACGGGAAGAGGGATGCCCCACAGGGCATGATCGAGATGCGATCGAGCCGGGATGCGCTGGCCCAAGGGCGCCCGGCCGCCCGTCCCGCGGGCGGGGGGACCAGCCCCCAGCTTGGCGGCGCTCCCCCAGCCCCTTGCCGTCCGCGGGATTGAGAGAGGGGGGGGGGGGGGGGAATAACTCCGGGTGTTGCACGAGCACACAGGCAAGCGGGGGCTGCGTGTGCTCGATACACGCGCATCCCCTTCCCCGCCCGGCCATTTTCTGTCCCGGGCCATGATCAGCCATCGCAACCAGCACACCGGTCGATTAAACAGGATGCCCGCCGGGCAACATGCACCTAGACGCAGCCGTCCCCGTCCCCCCCCCCCCCCCACAGGGGATGACTTAGTTGCCTGGTCATGTTGCCGCGCGCAGGCGATTGAGGTGACGCGCCCCAACATCAGGGGGGCTCGCCAGGTGAAGCCTTTGACAGTTGTCCCCAGGGGCGCCGGGCACGCCGGGGGCGCCAGCAACACGGGCCACACATGGGCCTGTGGCTGTTGCAGAGACCTCGCGATCGGGTTTGCCGCGAGCACTAGAGTCTTCCCGAGGGCCGGACGGGCTCGGGGGGGGGGGAGGGGGGGGGGACCTGGCGGAGAGCGAAGGAACGCCGCCGACCGGCCTACCTCGCCGCCAAATCGGCCCGGGCTCCGTCGCGGAGATCGATGAAGCCCGACGACCTCTGCCGATCAGCGTTCCTTCGCTCTCCGCCAGGTCCCCCCCCCCCCTCCCTTCCCCCCCCCAGGGCCGGGTGCCCGGAATTGCCGTTACGCCCCGGGGCCGAGGCGCCCGGGTGGAGGCAGCTCGCCCAGGCGGGGCTCCACAAGGGGGGGAAGGGGGTGGCCATGGTTTACTCCGGGCCGATGTCCGGCCCCGGCAGGAGAAACGTGCTGGGATGTTAGCGTTCGGGCGTGGTCGGCCTCGGGGGCTCCCCGATGGGAGGCAAGGCGATCCCAGCGCGGTTCCGGAGCGCACACGGGCCGCGCCCCCGGAGCGCGGACGAGTACGCCATCGCCCGCCGTCAGGCGAAAGTGGCCAGTCCCTTCCCCGCGCGCGCGCGCTGGCCCACCCCTGAGAGAGAGAGAGGGACCGAGAGAGCGGCCCCGCAGGTCTTCGGCATCCGGCCTGGGGCCAGCCAGAGCGCGCCCGGGGGGGGGGGGGGGGGGGGGACAAATTGGGGAGGTATTCTCGAGCTGAACATGGGATATTACCGGCCAAGATACATCCCGTGAGTATCACGCCACGAATCAGGGACATTCTGCTGTAGCAGATTGGAGAGAGCAGCACACGCCCACTTTTGTTGAGGGCGGTCGATTGCCACCCGGCAGCCGTTCTCGGGGGCGGGTTGGAAGGGGGCAGCGTGCGGCCCCGGGGCGTCGGCTCGGGCACGAAAAGGGTGCTTCTTCTGTTTTCTTTCGTCCCTCCCTCTCGCCCCCCCCCCCCCTGAACAGAGGGAGTTGGATGGGGCCAGGCTTCGCCCTGCGCCTTCGGCCACGCACCCCCTAGGGGGGTGGGGTCACGCGCTGAGGCGAGACAAAGATCGCCAGCCCTTCGCGCCCCGTGCCCTAGAGGAACACCCCGATCAAGAATGTCCCCCC